AACACATAATAGATTCCACTATGCCACTATTTATTTAACAAAAAATAAGCCAACATGCAGAAGCCATGTGTGAAAAACTAAGTAAACCCCATGATTCAGTAACTTGTAGAACCACCTTTAGCAGCATTAACCTGAAGTAATCATTTTCTGTTTAGAAAAGTTTAGCAGCCTCTCACATCGTTTTGGAGGAATTTTGGCCAACTCTTCTTTACAACAGTTAATTTATGTTTGAGGGCATTCGTTTATGCACAGCTCTCTTAAGCTCTCTCTTTCTGTGTCCCGACACAGCATCTCAATCTGGTTGAGGTCTGGACTCAGCCATTCACTTGTAGATTTGCTGGTGTGCTAGGGATCATTATCCTGTTGCATGACCCAGTTTCAGTCAAGCTTTAGCTGTCAGACAGATGGCCTCACATTTGTCTCTAGAATACTTTGGTATAAAGAGGAGTTCATGGTCGACTCGATGACTGAAAGGTGCCCTGGTCCTGTGGCTGCAAAACAAGCCCAAATCACCTCACCACCATGCTAGATGGTATGTATGAGGTGTTTGCAGTGATAAGCCGTGTTTGTTTTTTGCCAAACATGGCTTGGTGCATAATGACGAAACATCTTCACTTTGGTCTCATCTGTTCAAAGGACACTTCAGATGCAACTTTGCAAACCTAAGCTGTGCTGCCATGTTCTTTTTGGAGAGAAGGGGCTTTCTCCTGTCTATCCTTCCATGAAAGCCATATTTGTTCAGTCTTTTTCTGATCGTACTGTCATGAACTTTTAACATTTAACATGTTAACTGAGACATGCAGATCCCTAGATGTAGCTCTTGGGTTCTCTGTGATTTCTCTGAGCATTATACGGTTTGAACTTGGGGTGAAGTTGCTGAGACACCCACTCCTGGGAAGATTAGCAACTGTCTTGAATGTTCTCCATTTGTAAATAATCATTCTCACTGTAGAATGATGGATTTCAAATTGTTTGGAAATGGCCTAATAACCCTTCCCAGATTGATGAGTAGCAACAACTGCTTGTCTGAGTTCATTGCCAATGTCTTTGCTCCTTGCATGGTGTTAGCACACAGCTGAAAACTCCAGACCACCAAACTGCCAAAAGTTCTGCTTTTATAGAGGTGGACACACTTCCTGATGATCAACTAATCAAGTGCATTTGATTAGCAGCACCTGGCTGCTAATTACCTTAATTCCTATGGAAACAGTAAGGGTATACTTAATGTTTCCCACATGGTTTCTGCATTTTGGCTTACTTTTTGTTGAATAAATAATGACATAGTGAAATCTGTTATGTGTTGTCTGTTTTCTGAGGCTAGATTTGTCTAATTATAGAAGTTGGTGAAGACCAAACGATTGTTATTTATGCCCTGATATGTGAAACCATTGAATTGAAAGAGGGTGTACTTTCTTTTCCACATGACTGTTTACTGTATAAAGAACAAATAAATATTACCCAAATGAACCTGAAGTGTTTCAAAAATAAAACCATGTGAAGAAAAAATGCTTAAAAACATTTACACAAAATTACTCAGAAACACACAAAACAGCATATTATCAATCAAAAACATTTTGTCGTAGTAAGTGCAGAATTGTTGTGGTGAAAGTGTGCTTTTGTTACATAATGCAGACTTGTATCTACAAGGTAACTAAGGGAGTTAGATGCAGTTCCATATTATATGGCATTTGTGGTCATTGGTAATTAGGACTCAGAGGAAGATTAGATCAGAATAAAGAGTAATTAGACAAGGATCCAGACTGGGTTCGAAAACAAAGGTTTTGAATTTCTGAAACTGAGAATGAGAATGACTGTCAGCTATACTACTGAGATGGCCTGTGCTAAAAGTAGTGACAATAAGAAATAAAAAGCCATATGGAACCACTGTGTAATTTCTCAATTAGCTTGGAGAACAATCTCTTTTTTATGATGTGGATGATTATAATAATGAAGGACTTTTATTTCTAGTTGTGGCCCCAAAAAAGTCAGCTGCAATGACTGGGTATAATTTAAAGGTAGAAGAAATTCCAACAAGAAAATGGACGAAAACATAGAAGGCCAGTGTGAAATGAACCACTTAACTTAATAAAAGCCTCCAAGGTGAACAGAATGTGCTACATTCATAAAAGTTGGAGTTTGTCTCAAGCTCAAGATGATGATTAGATGAATGTTGCTGTTAGTAGTGATGGAAGGAAGAGACTGATGAGGAAAGATCAAAGGGATGCAAAATTAATGATTGGTCTTGTAGAATGATTCACATGTTGTAGTTATGGAGACCCAGCAAAAAGAAGTTTTTTTCTGCATGATTTAGATGACAAGTACATGTAGGTAGGAAAGTAAAAATGAACATATTTAAGCTTATGAGCATTGTGAGAGTTATGTTCTTTGACTTCTCCAGTGCCTTTAACACCATCCATGTTGGACAATCAGTCTGTATAAACCTATGCACATTTTGCACATATTTTATTGTTTGTACAGTGACTATGATCATCACATTTTGCACACACCTATGTATTTATTTTTTATTTTTTATTGGACTGCTGTGACACATCACTTTCCCTACAGGGTTAATAAAGTCTTATCTATCTATCTTATCATGAAGAATTTTAGGACTGAGAATAATTCCAAGAAATGTGATGACTGCATGTAGACCAGATATTTTATCCACTATAAGCAGGGCTCAATTTTTTTAAACAGGCTTGCATGAGGAAAGCTGGGAAAATTAATTGAAAAAATCTAGAAGAAAGAGGAGTATCTAATTATTAGAGAGGATTCAGTAGAGCACTTCAGCTAAGGTGTTGAAAAGGGTTTGGTTGCTCCTAGAGACAAATGTTAAATGAAGTGCAAAGTAAAACTTCTCTAGGAAATTCTGAAGAGATGCCAGAGTTGAGTCAAGAGGCATGATTTTAATAGTGCTTGAGAGGCCAGGTTTAAAAACCCAGGCGCCCAGCTTGATGGGGTAAACAGTGTGATTTGTTATGGAATAGTAAAAGAAGTCCACCTTAGGTCAAGCTGTTAAAGCTAGGAATAGCAGAGGCATGGGGGACTGACCTAATGATTATTAAATCCTTTCTCCCTAAATAATTACAAGTGATGGAATTGATGTGGCTAACATGGCTAACAGGGAAAAAAGAGGGGAATCAAGGGAGATAATTATAAAGTCACTGATAAACTCTATAGATTTTTGTCGAACGTAGCAGATGCAAGATTTTTGCAGATCACAGAAGAGACTTGCAAACTGCCAAAAACTCAAATTAAAAGCAGTCCAGTAGATGATGACTGAAGCTGGGATCAGGATTAGTTTGAATGTTGATCTGGGTGGAGAAATGAACCAACAGTCATTTAGGGTACCTGGGGTGAATGGAGCTGAGAATAACAACAGTGGCACATGAAGTGAGCCATGTGATTCTACAATAAAGATATGTATGAAAAAAAATGAAGAAGACCCCACAAAACACTTTAGACACATTTTTTTTCAATTTCTTCAAACAAATTAAATACATGATTAATATTACTATTAAGCACCAATGAAACATAAAACCTTTACCAACATGGTCATACTTTATTATTGCTAATTCTTCAAAAGGTATTTTCCATAAAAACATATATGCATAAACAGTGATGTTCAGTGAACATACTGTATATACAGTATATAATCATGGAGTAGGTAACTCTTATGTTATTACAAAACTGCAAGATTTTCTTTTTCAAATGTTTTCGTTAAAAACTCAAAACTTTATTTTCTGTTGAGTTATCTTGCATCTTTTTGCCTTCTGAAAGTTGATTTACTTTCAGGTTAAATGTAAACTTTGCCAGTCACAATTTACAAACCAAGTAAATAATGGCATTTGGTTCCATTTGGTATGCATTTTTCACATCTTGAGTTTGTACTTTGCAAGTCTACTAAAGATTAGTCTGAGCCTGTATATTTCTATATGTCAGTACCAGACAATCTATAAGAACAGTATCTGTGCTAAGATAACATAACAGGTTACTTTTTTTAAAAAGAAAAGTTATGCTTAAACATTAATGAAGCCACATGTTATTCATTTAAACTAACCCATATATTTTACAACCATGAACACAAAGAGGTTTTAAAGACCTTCCTCACAATAGTTTAAGGTTTATACATTATACAGTAGAACATACTGCATGCAATACAATGAGAATAAAGGATCTTTTCCAGTGAATAACCAAAAGGTTTAACCTTATTAACCTTATTATTAACCTTATTAAATAATCAGAAAAAGTTTCTTAAAGATATACTTTTGTAAATCATATAGACTAGGATTATATTAAAACTGAGGCTTCGTTGTTCAATTTTTAAGTGCTGAAATGTAATTTCATTTGCCCATGTGTAACATTTAGCCTACATTCATGTTGTATGTACTGTACTAAGGTGCTAAAATCATCTGATCCTCCATTCGATTTGCTTATTACAGAGGTCTCAAAAACAATCGTAAAATTTAGGCTTATCATTTAAATGTTAAGTGTTAGAAAAAAGGAGATTTTTTTTAAAGATAAAACACAAGTTATATTACTATTAAGTGTTCATTTGTTATATACTGTAGTATTCTATAACAGTTTGCCTCATGCCACATAAATGAGGTTATGCTTTTGTGAAAACATTTTACCACCTATAAAAAAATACAATAATTGTGAAATGACACATGGTCTGAAATAAATGGGAAGGGTTAACTGAGTATTTGTGTACCTAAATATGTGCAGAAAACAATTAATTACACTTAGAAACACCTCCCATGCTTTGATACATTGGCATTTAATATATCTATCAATGTAGTGGTGCTTCCACTAAAACCAAACAATTGCTGTACTTCAGAAAATATAGTATAATATGCTAAATGTAGCACAGATAAAAAACAGCCCTTTTAAACTTTGCAAATATCTGATACAGGAACTAAATGTCTGTAAACAAATAATGTAAGCTGTAATTTTATTAATATAAATATGTAATAAAACATTCTTGATGTTTTCCTTACCGTAGGAAGGAGCAAGAAGAAAGTAACAAGGAATCCTTTGATGGTATAACACATCTCTTCTTATGATTCAAATTTTTCAGACAAGAAATTTGCTAATACTGGGTTGTTGTAGTCATAAAAGTCTTCAGAATCTTTAAAATTTGTTAAACAACTGTGTTGACTTCTCAAATATCATCTCAGAATCTGAAAGAGAAGATAAAACATCAAAATCATAAGAATGCTGACAATCATATTAAATGTTTCAATCAAATACATATACCGTATAAATGTGCACAGAAACAAGTATTAATTAATTCCACACTGAAAAGCAGAAAGAAAACATTATACACCTATGGGGCCTTCTTCAAATACATGGGTGAATGGCAGAAAGAGAAGGAATAGGAGGCTAAAGATTGATAAATTAGACAAACATCAGGGAAATGGGACAATGGTATGGCAGGTAAGAAGGAGTATCCAAAGAAACTCTGCTAGGGAATTATGAAAGACTGACTTCAGTAAATTAATGGAGATATTTAGAACAAAAATTATTCACTTAACTGGGAGTATATGTGAAATTTTTAAGGATAAATTTGGCCCTTTGTCTTGTTTGGAGACAACTGTTAAGAGTCCATATACTGTACAGTACAGTATATTCATATAAATGGTAAGGCACTTTTAGTAAAAGGTGGAATAAAGGGGATGTATGTATAAACATGATGCCTTTTGGGTGTTCCTGACATGGTCAGAGGGGTCAAGTATCCGTATACTGTTGTTGTGAATATCTCTGTCTTTGTTTCTCCAAAAGGCTAAAAAGTATTGAAGTTCAAATATTCCCTTAAATATGGGTGAATTATGCACATATCACAGGCATAGTGTCAAATGATGCTTTTTGTATTGCACTTTTTGTGGACAACCACTTAGCAGTTCATTTTAGAGGCCTAGTTTATATTGCAAATTACAGGCAGTCCATGTTAATCCAAATACATAAGCCATTTTTAACTAAATACAGTGCATCAATAATTAAATTCATAAATACCTACTAAGTACTAACTACTAATAACTCACTTAATCATACATAAAGGAACTTTCTATTTAAGAAATATTTATCTGTATATATTTGTCATGTAAGACTGTATACTTATGGTTAAAGTTTAAGAAATTTAAGTGCCTTTTTTAGATTTGGTAATGGTTAAATGCAAAGAAAGGTATACAGAGGGGGAAATAAAAAAAATTGAAACATTGGTACAAGAATTTATATCGGAAAAAAATAAGGCTCACCAAAGCAAATCTGTCAATTATGGGAAAAGCTGAGCGTGCTTTAAGGCAATTCATTTTTTGAATTTGATATAAGCTTCAAAATTTTAAAGGATCAGCGTTCAAGGAACTAATACTTGGTGATAGTTATTCCTTAATGGGTAGTGAAGGATGCTGCGCCAATCAAAGAAATATACAGAAAACTGTTCTAGTTGTGCTTATTAAGCCATCTTCAGGACATGGTGAAGGAGCAAGTGGCAAATCGGTAACTGTCCAACTGTTGATAGTGAGGGGTTGGAAGAAATGTATGTACCTTTGAGTGTACGTGGTGGTAAACATAAGAGAGTTCAAATAGATTGTGTGCAAAAAATCCTTTTTTTTTAAATAAAGTCAAAAAGTTAGTGGAAAGCTCAGGGTATGATATTCTAGAGAAGTGATACTGTATGAAAGGTGGCATACTAAAAGTGACATACAAATAGAGATATAGATTATGACTTCTAAAAACTTGTAGGATTGGTCTAGATGGTCCTGAATTTATGAAAATGTGTGAATTCACAAACTGGTCTGAGTAGAAAGGAATATGCTATAAGAACTGGTTACAGACAGAACACGGGTAAGAATTCTGGAAAGTCCCACAATATTCAGAGGTTTATCTACGGATACACAACTGAGTGCATCAGGACACATTTTGGCTCTAATTGGATCCCCAAAGAAGATGAAGATAGGTTACAGTTCTGAAAAAGCTACAGAGAAATCAAAGAAGATTGATGAGGTAAGGGGACCTCTGGGGCAAAGGGTGACTCCCAGGGTGCAGTTGTGCTGACTCAGATGCAGGCACAGCATTAAAATGATGACATGAGGAAAAAGGAAAGGCAGCATGGCAAATCGTAAAACAGCTTGTTTCCAAGGCATAAGGAGGTTGGCCTGGAGAGCTTTGCTTGGTAAAAGAGTAACTAGGAATACAGTAGAGAACAGACACAGGATCGAGATGGACTCAGTAGCTATAAAAGCTGTAATTGTATACGGATAGATGAGTGTCAGCCATAGCACAACTGATCACAGAGAAACCAAGAAAGCAGTTTCCTTGTCACATCAGCTGGAGCTCAGTGGCATACTGAGTCTTAAATACTGAAGTTTATACTTCTTTAAGCAGGGTAATGAAAAAGAAAAGCTACAGAGAATTGCATAGAAGGTCTGCTTATAGTGATACCAAAAATGAAAATGAAACCAGCAGTTTCGTTTTGATTTCAAATCAGCATAATTGTTTTGACATACTGAGTCAGTGGAAGAAAATAACTTTTTTCAAGCAGGCATGTGAAAAATATAACACACTAAGACACATCCATGGAAAGGTCTGTGTCTGGTGACAAAAAATTATAATATGAAAATGAAACATGCTAGCAAGAAAAACAAAACAAAAGCATAGTACTAATCATGTAGGTAAGTTCTGATGTCCTCCCAAACCTTCATTTAAAACTTTATTTGATATAGCAGAATACTATATGATGTGATATTGAAATGTAACATTAAAAAAGCAAAATATATTAAAAAACAATTATAGAATGCCATGAAGAACTGTATTTTCAAATCTTTACCCCAAATATTAAAATAACTGAGCCCACCACAGCTGACCACAGCTGAGCACATAGCTGAGCTTCCCCTGTTGCCACTATCAATGCTTATGTATCACCTATGATTGCAATGTTCAAATTTATACTGCCAGTTTTTGAGCACATGCAAAAGATATTTCCCAGAATGTGTACACAGCCCTTTTTTTTTTACAGTGCATATAAATGTTAATTCGTTACTGATCATACATAGTTTCTTCCATTTCTGAAACAAATCTTGAAGGAAACTTGCTTGTTACCCAACTGCAATATGCGAAAAGATGGGTATTTAAGTATGTACATTATGCATGCAATCAAGCTATCTCATGACTTTGATTTACAGTATGACACTCTCTGTCTTGAATCAGTTCAAATGACCATCATAATTGTGCTAAGAAAAATAGGGACAGCCATGAACCTGCTGCAGTCAGCCTGATCTTTTGAGTATTCTTGCTCCACACTTTATGAGCTCATTCACAACTATCAACCGACAATGCTCCAGATTATTCTAGATGTTGTTGCCCACATGAGACATCATAGCAGCAAGACTGTACCATTGTACTCTCTAATTGTCTGCCAGACTTGACTCACTTGTCAAATCATTTGTATACATCACAGACCACTGTCTAAAGAATACTCTACAACATCAACATCGTCAGTCCCAGTGGCAGTGCCTTAAGACTAAAGTATCCTGACTTTGGCACTCTTTTTACTGGGATAAGCTCTGATTCTGCTGTGACTCTGTATTGGATAAAATGGAAAATAAAATGGAAAATCAATGGGTTCCTGTGAACAACTAGATTACTCTAGTGGGGAATATATTCTGATGCCTCTACCTTGAAATAATGTTTGTGTATATGTTGTATGCAGTAAATACTATGTAGTAATTACAAACTAGTTACTGTTGGAGTGAAACAAACATTCTTTAATGTAGTTCAGGTGGGTAGCTGCGTCAGCATGCGTAGGCTGCAAAGGAACAAGTAATAGGTTTATTCCATGCTGAAAAAAAGAAGAAAGAGAACACAACAGTTCGGCC